AAGAGCAACTTTTCAGCTGCCCTGACCAAATGCAGTCTTTTTACATTCTTGGACATAGCTTTACATGTACATACATAATACATTCTCTCTTTAGCCCGCACTCAAACTATGTCTATGTCTCTCCTCTGGCATACTGTAAAATAGTGAATTTTATCTAAGGGAAAATGAATAACAATAGGTGTCCAATCTGATTGTAAAACACAGTCATTGGGTTTGGAAATGCAGGACAAATACAACAGGTGATGGTAATGTCTCTGTTGATGTATAACAGTGGCAAACCATGACGATTAGAGCTAGGCCTTCAATTTGAACCCTAAATGTCAAAAATCAGTCAAAGACCAGAAAAAAAACAAGCACCTTTACAGCAACACTAATTGCTGCTAGCACCCCTACAGGATTATTCTATGGGAGTGTACTAGAATCCCTATGGGATAATAGTAGCTATACTAACTGCCATTTACATGAAGACTTTTTGGCCTAGATTAAACACAGAAACCTGAACCTGTAACAGACATATTAACATATATTTTAACATGTAGCAGCTTTACAGTGACTCCTTCAACATAGAGCTGCTGCTGTTTTTCAACATCTGACTGAAACGCATATGTCAAGCAGCCACTTCTATTCCCAGTCACTGATGTATCTAGGACTACGTTTTCCAGAAGGTCTAGATTAACATTTTTTCTTGAAAAACTAGTCACACTCATTGAAAATCACCATGTGACTAGTTAATTCCACTATTAGTTAATATTATTGTGGTTAGCCCCAGTAACAGCATGGACTACAATGCAAACTAGTTGAGTTATCCTTAGGTTACAGAAGTGTGTAGTAAACCTTTGGGCCCGCTGGTGAGCCCTGGCCATTTAAGGGGTTAATCTGACATTGTAGGTTTTCATTTGGGCCCATTTATCTACCCAGATGGATCATTTTCTGTTGATGTAACAAAACAAATATGTAACCCTTTTGTTTCCAACTCCGACTTAATGATTCTATAAAAAATGCGGTATTGCATCAAGAAAGATAATTACAGTATAACAATTTTTCATTCAATAACTTTTTGTCTTGGTCCTCCTTAAAACTATTAAATTATTATAAATTATTATTATAAAATTACATTATTATAAAGGTATTAAAATATTGTATAAAACATCTTAAAGTACCTTATGTCCTCTGTCTTTCTTCCTCTGCTATTACCACAACAACATGCAGGCACTAGGGCTGCACAATATATTGCTTGTTCATATCATTATCATGATATTGGTCTTGGCAATACTGATATCACAGTTGTAACGTGCAAAAGACCCATCCAGTGTTTTCTGTGGACGTTTTGATGAATTAAGGCCTTCACATAATCTACAAAAACAAAATTATTTTGGACAGATTAATACCATGCTAATAAGTTAGTGGCATATTACAGATTCACCAAAGCATTTTTAATATATTACAAGGCATATGGCTATATACAGCATTATAATCACAGTATTAGTACTGTCATCATGTGCCCATGGTAATGTGAATTACATGAACACCCCAACATTCTTTGCCTCGGTTCACGCCTTTCTTTTCCATGAGTCTCGCATTTCACTTATCCCAGCCATAGCAAACAGATCTATAAAAAGCCAGACTTGCTGTGTAATTGATATTTTCTGAATCCTCAGCAGAAGCAGGGTGATATGGCGTGCCACAGTGATAGAGCACAATAAAAAGCCATGTGATTCTTCGGATCCAAACATGTCATTTGTTGTTTAAAGCAGAGAGGGAGCACTTTAATCCCTCCATTTCCCAGCCCTCAGCCCGGTGAGAGAGCATCTAATCCTTACAGCAGAGTAAATATAATGCTTGTCTAACATATAGATCTTCCAGTGCTTGGGAAGTGAAAACCCAGCCTTGATCCACTGCCTGCCTCATAGAGATTTAAGAACTGCAGGTATCTGCGCACTTATGAAATGCTTTTCGGGCCCCCCCCCCTCTGAAAGCTTGCTGTATAATTCACTTCTGGATGGCTTGTGTGAAATGTAAATCACCCTCACGCTGATGGCAGAGAATGCTCTTTCTCCATTTCTCTCTCTCTCTTTCTTTCTTCCTCTGTCTCTCTGATTTCTACAGGGCTAGGAGCTGCAGCTAAGTTATGTCAGACCATGGCTTATGGAGGGCCATTCAAAAAAGTGCAATTAGATCGAGCACTGAACCCCATGGAAATCACTGTCAACAAATCAATGTTTGGGGGGAAAATCTTTGCTCATAAATCCAAGTTGAGGCATTTCAAGGGCTTTCGACCAACTTGGAGAAGGCATTATGTAGTAATGAATGCATTTCTTGCAACACCTTGGCTTGATCTCCTAACTGAGATCTCTTTGATGTAACATCACAGCTTTATTTCGTTTTCATCAAGAGGTTCATCTGAGACTGTAGCGAGGCCTGTTAAAAAAAGATCACAATAGGCCATGCTGATATAATTCTACTTATACTTTAAAGACCCAATCACATACCCCTACAGTTTTGAGTACTGCGACAATTGGCACTTTCACATTACACCGCTATGTATTTGCTGTTGCGCATGAATAAGCTTTAAAATTGTTTCTGAATGGAAGTGATGTCTTAGCTTACTGCAGTTGATTAAAAAACTTTCAGGTTTGGAACAATTACACACAAACTGAGTGAAAGCAATGATTCAAATACTAATTGCAAAGCTGAATCCTTTAAAATATTAAATGCCACTCACTGTCTCTCATCATTATGGTATACATGATGTACAGATAAACTGCACAGAGAGGTTTAAAACATCTTCAGGCTACTTTAAAAGAATCTGATTTAGTCTAACACTCATATCACTGTAGGTAGGATATCACATACTCCCATGCGAGGAAAAGCATAATGTAATTCTCAAAGATAATCAAAATGAGGCCGGGCAATCACTACACTGCATACAAATTTTACACTTTTATAAAGCTCTTGTATTTATAAATTAGACAGCTTGGCTGTTGTTGTGCCAACTCACTATAGGGCTCTGCTGAAGCAACTGCACTGCCTATCCTGCATGCTTTTATGAAATTTGAATGGGAGACTTGACAAAAGCACAACATTAATTACTGTCAAGTTTAGCTGGTGCTCAATCTGTAAAAGTTGAATGGTGACAAATGATGGTATTATTTTCCGTGTTTTCCAGAAATTAAACTTCTAGGTCACTAACAACATGTAGACAGCAGGGATGGATTAATGACAGGACCAGTGGGGTCTTACAGTTGTACCCAGGGGCCTCACAAGATCATGATCCATGCCTGATAAACACTTACCTTTCATTGTGCACTTTTTGTGTGCATTTATCCCTGACAATAACAAAAAAACTGTTTGTAATTTTATATGAATTGTTTCTGAACTTTCAGTGTGTCAATCAGTAATGTGTCTTTTTTGTGAAAAGAAAAGCCTTATTTATATTTATGCCATTGTTTGACATCAGTACAGGTGGTAAAATGGTCAGATGGTGGCTCAAATCTGTGTTACAAAATGTGAATGAAATGTAAACTATAAATATTTTTACTGTTATCTGATTCATATTCTTCTTCTTATTATTATGTATTATTTTTCTGTCAGACATTTGTGTGCAAACTTGGGCTAGCAATACCCTAGGAACTACCTGAGATACCATAGCAACAACCTAGCAACCATTCTGGATACCATAGCGACCATCTACGAATATCCTAGCAACCATCTGGGAATTGCTTAAGCTGCCTAATCACTCTGCATTTCGTTCAGCAAATGCACTTCTCTTGTTAAGTATGTAATTATGTAATTATGTAATTACATTGAAATAAGCATGTAACATAAATACTTAGCAAAGTGACAGTAACAACTTCTAAGAGTTAAGGATAAATATGGCACTTGATATCCAGACAAACAGCAAATCCTTCTCTCACACAGATGCTATGTTAACACAAACACATGGTTAAGAAATCCTATGTGCTGTGAGATGAACAGAAGCCTTTGGTTTTGGCCTCTTCACTGAACTTCTAAAATGATTCGCGCTACAGCCAGTGGAGCTCACAGCTGCCTCAATGTGGCATCAAAGCCTGCCAGGGATGTGTGTGTGCTGAACCATGCTTTCCCTCTTGTGTCTGCTGCTCTAGGCCTACCTGCATTTTGTGGGGAGCATGAGGTGTTTTTCTTCATGGTGAAATGGTTTTACCCCTTGTTTTCTTTCCTGCTCATTTATTGCGCAGTCAAGTCTGTGGTTCAAAAGAGTCAGACATGCAGCGAGGCTAGATTTAACAAATGCCTGTAAAATGGTGTGATGCACTATAAATTCATACGACTGTTTGAGCTTTTCTTGCAGGTTTAGGGTTACACATGTTGGTCTCCTTGGATATCATAGTAAACCGCTTCTTGTAAGATTTAACAGCCTTTTCCAGATTGGTTGGTCATATCTGGTGTTTCCTGTGTAAACTAGAAATTGATTAACCAGTTTTCAGAAGCCACTGGCTGTTTCCAGGGAGCCATTTTACAAGGCGCAGTGTAATTGATCTGATGCAGCACCTAAACATTGGTTCGTCTCAGTCTGACAGTCTTACAGTTAATGGGGTGAAAACAGGGACGCTCTGTTTTCCCTAACCTGTCAAGTGGTAATTGGCCAATGGTTTCCTATAATAGCAATATGCCATTGGGACTGCACCTCTTAAATTGTGTACAAAATAATTGGATGGCCATGAGACAAAAAGCTATTTGTGCATTTAATAGGAGACTATAAAGAGTAAATATTAGGAAATTAAAATTGCACTTATGTTGTTCAAAACAGCAAGAGAAGTACATGAAAACTAAATTGTAATGAGCTAAGAATGTACTGACTGTGGCACATCATAAACATACCACTGGAGATGTATCAGTCACAATGCCGTATCATACTGGTAGCACTTATAAGTCTGGGTAGATTGTGCTTCACAATATACAGTGAGCCTATATAATAAATATATATGGATGCTAACCATCATGTTCTTCTTTCTTTACAGGGTGTGCCTCTGGATCCATAAATGAGACTAAAGCGATGGGAGAAAGGAAAATACAAGGGGCTGAGGGCCATCTACAACGTTGTCTCCAGAGAAAATAAGCACAAGCCAGTCTGAAGTGGTGAAACGCTACGACTCCAACGCTTCTCTACAGGAAACTCCTCCATAAGTGCATATGCTGCAGCTGGAATGGAATGATCACTGGTTGGAGTGAAATCTCCAGCTAATGTGAAAAAAAGATCAGCAACTTTTTTGGATTCGACTCGGGACATCTATTGCACCTTGTCTACACAACAGAAACAGCTGACTATCCTGCCAGAATACTGTGAGGCTCAGTCCAGCCTAGTAGAAACTAAAAGTGACATCCCAAGCTGATAGCTACTGGCTTTGTTCATGGCTTCCAGGAAGGCATCCATGGCTTGTAGTGGTGGCATGGTGATGAGTGCCTTCTTCTGGTCTGTGGCCATAATCTATCTGACTCACATAGGTGGAGTGAGGGGGGACTGCTGGCTCATTGAAGGGGAAAAGGGCTTTGTGTGGCTGGCCATTTGCAGCCAAAACCAGCCGCCTTATGAGGCCATCCCCCAGCATATCAACAGCACCATTGTGGACCTTCGCTTGAATGAAAATAAGATAAAAAGTATCCATTATTCTGCCCTCAGCCGCTTTGCCAACCTAACATACCTGAATCTAACTAAGAATGAGATTAGCTATATAGAGGACGGGGCCTTTTCAGCCCAGTTCAACTTGCAGGTACTCCAGATGGGTTTCAATAAACTGCGCAACTTAACTGAAGGGATTCTCAGGGGGTTGGGCAAGCTGCAGTACCTCTACCTCCAGGCCAACCTGATTGAGACTGTGACACCCAATGCCTTTTGGGAGTGCCCAAACCTAGAAAACATAGACCTCTCCATGAATCGCATCCAGGTGCTAGATGGGTCCACCTTCACCAGCCTGACTAAGCTGACCACGTGTGAGCTCTACACCAACCCCTTCAACTGCTCCTGTGAGCTGCTGGGGTTCGTCAAGTGGCTCTCGGTCTTCCCTAACAGGACAAATGAACGAATGGTGTGCGATTCCCCTGCAGGCGTTTCTGGTTACAGTCTCCTGAGCCAGAATCCAAACAATCCTACTCAGCGCAATGCACTGCATATGCTGTCCACTGTGTGTACGGAGGACTACGTGACTCCGTATATCCCTGTGCCTCCTGAGACCACAACTTACCCTCCAGATGCTACTCCTTGTGGACTGGAGGACTGTCCGTCTGGTACTGAGCCAGAGGAGATAAGCATTAGCCCAACCTACCCAGATGTGGATATGAAACCAGTCATGAAGCTCAAGCAAGTATCCCACACAAATGCAGTCATCACCATTCAGATCCCTCACCCATACAAGAAAATGTACATTCTTGTTTTGTATAACAACAGCTTCTTCACAGACATTCAGAATCTGAAACGGCAGAAGGAGGACATTGAACTGAAAAACCTGAAACCCCACACTGATTATACATACTGCGTGGTTTCCATACGCAATTCTTTGCGTTTCAACCATACCTGTCTGACATTATCCACAAGTTCCAGAAATGGGAGAGCAAAAGAGACTAGTAATGCCACCGCCACCCACTACATAATGACCATACTGGGATGCCTTTTCAGCATGGTAATTGTCTTAGGAGTGGTTTACTATTGCTTACGAAAGAAGAGGCAGCAAGATGAAAAGCACAAAAAGGCAGGCAGCATGAAAAAGAACATAATAGAGCTCAAATATGGCGGCGAACTGGAGGGAGAGACTATATCGAGGATGTCTCAGAAGCAAATGATGGCTGGAGAGAGTATGTCTCGCATGCCATATTTGCCCTCTGGGAGTGAGATGGACCAGTACAAACTTCAGGACATCAGTGATACACCAAAAATGGCAAAGGGCAATTACATGGAGGTGAGAACAGGGGAACACCCAGACCGCAGAGAGTGTGAGATGGCCATGCCAAGCAATAGCCAAGGCTCTGTTGCGGAGATCTCCACAATTGCGAAAGAGGTGGACAAAGTCAACCAGATCATTAACAACTGCATAGATGCCCTGAAGTCAGAGTCAACCTCGTTCCAAGGAGTGAAATCTGGAGCTGTTTCAACAGCAGAGCCTCAGCTAGTTCTGATCTCAGAGCAGCCCCAGAGCAAGTCTGGCTTCTTGTCCCCAGTCTACAAGGACAGCTACCACCACTCTTTACAAAGACACCACTCCTCAGACACCTCCCCAAAGCGACCCAGCACAGCCACTGGTGGTCCTATGCGGAGTCCGAGGCCTTATCGCTCTGAGGGAGCATACAAGTCAGAGTCGAAGTACATCGAGAAGACTTCACCAACAGGTGAGACCATCATGACTATCACTCCAGCAGCTGCAATACTTAGAGCAGAAGCAGAGAAGATCCGGCAGTACAGTGAGCATCGGCACTCCTATCCCGACGCCCAAATCGAGGAGCTGGAGGGGCCAGAGAGCCGCAAAACGTCCATCCTGGAGCCCCTGACGCGGCCTCGGCCCAGAGACTTGGCTTACTCTCAGCTCTCACCCCAGTACCATAACCTCAGCTATTCCTCCAGCCCCGAGTACTACTGTAAACCATCGCATAGCATCTGGGAGCGCTTCAAACTCCACCGCAAACGCCACAAAGACGAGGAATACATGGCAGCAGGCCATGCCCTGCGTAAAAAAGTGCAGTTTGCGAAAGATGAGGACCTGCATGACATTCTAGATTACTGGAAAGGTGTATCCGCCCAACATAAATCTTAATCTACCCAAGTGTTTGTTCAAGTCTTTCTTTTTGTTGTTTGACCACAAGAACTGAGAGCGCGAGTGATGCAGTCTAATGACATTTTATTGGAGAACTACAACAACACAGCCAACTCTGACTGGGGGGGGGGTAATTGGGAAACCAAGTTAGTTTTGTGAGTTTACCAAATTTAAAGGACATTAAGCAACAAGAAGAGAACACACCGCAAATTGAAAAATATCTATGTTCAAGTGGATTATAAGTATTTGGTTCCGCATGGCCAAGTCCTGTGACAATGGATTTGCTACTGTGTACGGTGAGGAAAAAAAATTAAAAAAAGAAAAAAAAAAAGAGAAAAAATACTACAATGACATCTGAAAACTTTGTATTTCTTCTCACTGTACACTAATTAATGAACAGTTCTCTCTATATATTTGAGTTATAAATACAAAGGGACTAATGTACAGATAGTGTTTCTATATTTGCAAGGTTTGCTGGTGAAAAGAGGAGAAATATATATGACATGTATGATTCAGGTTTAGATCACGGAATTTGGAGTCAGCTCCTGTGAAATTATTTGTTCTTAATGAATGTTTGAGTGTCATGATGGATAAACTTTGCACTGGTTTCTGGAATGGTATACTCCCCTTCAAACTGCTGTTTACTCTAGCCTGCTTTGTCATTCTCTTTGTTTTGTCACTAAACAAAATGCACAATATTCCAAAATTATCAAAGGCTGGTAAAATTGTATAAATTGTAACTACACAATGGATCAGTGGGATCTGAAACATCTGCATGGTTGAGTTACAGTTTCAAAGTGGGAAAAATCTACAGAATGAGTTGGGGAAAGAGAGGTTCATATGTAACCAAATGATGACAGCAATGGAAAACCTTCTCAGTGAAATTCATTTCTGTACTCTTTGCATTTGTAATTTGCCTATTAGTAACTTTGCCCCCAGATACTTCCTTTTGCTTCAACCTTGAAATGCCTACTGTTGTAAAGACTTACAGTATCTTACAGTATCTGATGGTCAACCAAAGTGCTTGGGTGGCAGCTCATCACATTTTTTCCTGCAGATGTTTCTTCTAGTCTCCAGCCCTGAGGATGAATGTATTACCTACAGTACATGAAGGTATAATGCAGCCCTTTTCACAGCTGCATGTTTTGTTATTCATACTTCTTTTCAATTACTTGCCAGTTCTCTTTCGACAGTACTAAACCAACCAGAAAATAATAATAATAATAATAATAATAATAGATATTTATAAAATTATGGGTATCATTTTAGTTGTTTTCTACTGTTGGCAGACACAAATGCTTTTGTAAATGTTGAAAGTGGCTAAATGGAAAAGGGGACATAGCTACGGCACTGATCAGGAGCATCAGCTGTGCAAGAAGAGAAAGAGAGAGAGAGAGACAGAGAGGGAGAGAGACAGAGAGAGAGAGAGAGAGAGAGAGAGAGAGAGAGAGAAATGGGGGGTGGAAAGAGAGAGAGACAGAGAGAGAGACAGAGAGAGAGAGAGACTGATTTCCTCCTGCCCTGACCTGTCACCACTGGATTTGTATATCACCTGAACAGTGTTACAGGAAGTGACTGGGACATCCAATTTCTTATTTCAACCGCCTTAAACTTCTGGAATATATGTATAACTGTATTTTTTCTTTTTCTTTAAGTGTTGATGTTTTTGAAAAAGTCTTCATTTGTTGTCATTTTTTTAAAGAAAAAAAAAAACAAGCATTTCAATAGATTCTGAGAGCTGTCCGATTTATAGGCAATCTAGCGAGTAACCTACATGTTTTTATATTGCATATTGTAGCACTCCTGTATCTCATAAAAGTTAGAAACGTTTGGACAATGTGAAACGGAAGCAGACATACATCAAGAGACAACCAAGAGCACAATAAAGTGTTATTTTTATTTCTTATTACTATGTTACCTGCTTTCAGACAACTACTGTGAAATAAAGGAAAGGGAACACCCATACATTCATGACCATCATGATAACATTATTGTGTGGTGTCCAGTGACAGAGCTTTCTATACAGTGTCAACTGTGATGATGAGCTAAATGAACTAATCAAGACAAAGTAAATGAGCTCTGTGTTGGCTGCTCCTTTTCAATTCATTTTAATTTAACTCAGTAATGAAGATCCTAAAACAAGTAAAGTAAAATATATTATCACTGTCAAAAAAAACAAAAACAAAAAACAGCTATTATTTTATTATCAACAATCATAGCAAATTGCAAGTTGCTGTTTATTAGGGCTTGTTATTATAAAGTGTTACCATTTGCTTATTTAATTTAAATGCTTATTTAATTTTAACACTGGAGCAACAAGGCTAATGTACCTTAAGCAAGTAATAGAAGTATATCCCATAGATTTCTATTAGGGTGCCAGTAGTGCAGGGAAATTATGTGTTTGCCATAAGTAAAGTAAAATAATATCTACACTTAACATGCTGTGATTTATATATCACTGTTGTCATGACAAAACCTTGTATCTCTAAAATAATAACTTTACAGGAGAAGGAAAAACCCCACTTTACTTTTAATGTACGTCAATGGAACCAAGTCATTCTGGGCTGTTTCTTTTGGTCCATTCATCATGAAATTTACAAACAATGTAAAAGACAACAGGCACTTTTAAATTATGTCAAAAACTGAAAAATGGAGAAAAAAATGGAGATACAAGGTTTTGTTAACAGTGATATATATATACACTCACACACACACACACACACACACACATATATATATATATATATATATATATATATATATAAATTACACAACAACAAATTAGCATAGTTGTAGGCAGTTTTATTTTGCACTGATATGAGTATTTTCCATCTCTGCTATTATAGTAGCTTCATAGCTCTAGTGCAAAACTGAAGAACTACCTTCAGATACCAAACATGTTGTGGTAGGTTGTCTACATTTAGGGTGAGGAGAATTTTTTGGTGAAACATTCTTTTAATGCAGCTATATAGAGATATAATTTGAACTGTCAATAGACTAGAGGAGAACAATGACACTGAAGAAACCCCCAAATACATTTTAGATTATACTTTGCAATATAAGGAGATAAAGCAGAAAGCATACATGTACATGAAATATAGACATACTGTAAAGAATCAAGCATCATATTTTGACAGAACTGAAGGGTATGACTAAAATATCTACATTCTGGGCATTTGTCCAGCTGGAGATGACTTTATGCTGGGCATGTGAATCCAATAAAGCAGAATCTTCAGTCTATGCTGAGTGCCCACAAAAAAGATTTGGAGACCTGGCTTCTTGTGTAAAGGAATCTCTTTCATAGAAAAATAAGTGTCAACCATGTTATGTCATGACATAAAGCATCATGACACTGACAGCATGTCTTCTTTTCCTCCTAACCGCTCCAGGCATTCTGAATTCAGTGTGAGGGTGTCATACTACAAACTTCACATTTGCAGTGATAAGCCATATTTTCTCTTGACAGGTCAGTCCCAGATATCTTTAAAAATCCACTGAGCACACTAAGAATCCTATTAAGACCAAAGATAATGTTGATGTTATTCAGCACTAAAAGTAAATAAGAAATGAAAGCTGTTTTACCTCATATCAAACGATGCCTTTGACTTTGTAGAAATATGTACAACAAATGAATGAATGAATGAATGAATGAATGAATGAATGAATAAACACACCACCAGACCATCTGGAATAACTTCCATTTCGAAGCTATCAAAGAGTCAGTAGACTGGAAGGTTTATAAGACCATGTTCCATACCTGAGGAAAGATGTTAGATGCCTTCTAAAAGTAATATAATTTGAACACAGAAAAAAGGTTATTTCATTTAGGTCTGTCACAGTGTGAGAACATGATCAGATCAGCAAATAAATCAGGAATTCCTAAAACCTTGACTTTAAAGAAATTACCACACAGCAAATAGGATTTTAGGCCCAGACAAGTTTTAATAATTAAAAGCTATAGAGAGAATAGGAATCCTTACAACCGTGCAAGACCTGGTAGACCAACAAAACTGACACCAACAGATAAACAGTGCTTAAAGAACTTCATCTTTGAGAGGGAGGAGAAAATCAATCTCCTCTCTTGCTTTAGATCTGAAGTCCACAGCTGTTTCTGTGCATCCTTCCACTGTGAGAAGACAAGTCAACGCAATGGGTCTGAAAGAATATGTAGATGTCTAGAAGCTGTTACTGAGAAAAGGAAACAGACAAATTAAACAATGAAGCTGCTGGTGTTCTCAGAACAACGCAGTGACCATCTCGGAGTCTAGAGCTCAACAACACTAAATGTGTTTGATACGACTTGGATTGTGAGAAGTAACAAATGCAACCAACTTCTAAGACTGAACTTTAGAAAAATATTCCTGCAGATTTCTTTGAAAACTGAAAGCAAGTCTCCTGAATGGAAGCTGTAAGGCAAATGGTAGACACACTAAATTGTAAAAAAAAATAATAATAAATGTTGAAGCATTTATCAAATTTTCTGATAAAATATAGGTTTTCTGCTTTTTTCCTGACACAGAAAAATGAATAACTTGTATTTAACAGCCACTTTATTGGAAATTAAATAAATGTAGTGTAGTCTTTGACATTTGCAAAGTACTGTATATAATGGTGAATTAATCTCCCCTTTTATCCTTAATTTGTACTCCAATGGGAAACATAAATCTACTTCTACCCCTGAACAATGGTAGTGAATGTCATTATGGTTGACAAACTATGAGAAAAAATCTTATATAATCTCAAAATTCATCAATATGCTCCCTACTGATGGGTGGGCATTGTTATATATAACCTCTGTGTAATTCAATATTTACGTCTAATTTCTTTGGCTAAAAGCTATAAAATGAGGAAGGTATTTAATCTGGAGATGATTACTGAACATTTCAATGGTACTAGCCTGACTAACTGGGAATACAGATGAAAGGCAGTTGACTGGAAAATTGTATGCTTCTGCAGGTCGATATCATGTGCAGTTTATGCTTTAGGTCTATGTTTCACTCTCATCTGCTTAATCTGGGCAAGCTTGCACAGGGGAGGTGCAGCCAGCTTAAGATAGCAGCAGAGAGCAGAGGGGATAGATGCAAATGAAGCTATGAGTGTTAAGATTCATGGTTTTCCCCACTTCCACCCAGAGAGATAAGCAAACATCCATCCATCTTGTCACAAGCCTCAGGAATATTTGGCTTAGGATGAGCTGTTTTCCCTCTGCTTTACCGACCAAATCAAATGGCTTCTAATGTCTTCGGGGTGTGTGCTTTGACAGAGATGAAAAGTAGCTTTATCAACACAAATATCATGACTTGATAATATATAATTAAATGTATAATCGATTGAAGTGATTGAGTGGGGATAAAAACATTTAATAAAGCAAAGCATGACAGGTAAGTTTAAAAATAAGAAAAATATGCATCTGCATCTGTTGTGTTGATGAAGAAGGACCTGGCTGAGATTGAGTGGAATATATTAGAATATTAATATATGTGTGATGTGCAATTGTCAGCCATACCTGAATATTCACTAGAATAAATGTAATGTTAGTACTAAGGGCACCTCGTGATACTATATAAGGTCATGTCATGCATTCTGGTGTTGCTTTAACAAATACATTAAAGCAATCGAAACATCAAAAATTATATAATCATGTAATCTTTACTTATAAACATACATCTTGCCTTATTTTTATAATGCCGACTTGCTTGACCACCTACATAATAGAAATTTATCACAGCTGTTTTGCTACACAGGGAATGACTGTCTTGCACACCTCATAAGTGCAGACATGAGCAAAACAATAAAAATTATAAACAACCTCCCACCAGACAATCTGTTAAAACCTCCTCAAATGGGGGGTCCAAATATGTATTTCACATTTCTGTGACTGAAAAATAACTCAGTTAGTTTGTAGTTACTACTGTATAATAAGTCCAGTTAATGAAAAACAAGCCTTAGGATGTAATAAGCCTGAGGTGTTTTTTAAAATGTCATGACTACTAAATACTCTAAACTTTCACAGAGTGAGAAAGGATATTCTATTATTGTGTGTCCTTTGGTCTACTACCAAACTACCTTTAGGAAATTAAGACGTATTTTACTTAAAATATTCAACTTACGGACATACTGAAACAGGTTTTTCATATTCACCTCTACTTCATCCAATGTCAGCTCTAGCTTTTGGGGGCCATAAGCAGAACTTTTTTCAGGGCTCCTCATCTTATTAGCTGATGTACTGTAAAATTAGAGTCATAGCTAATAGTAATGACTAACACAAATGTAACTTATATACATTTATAACTGGCTAATTTGTATATTGCTGATGATTGGATGCTCCGTTGGGGTTCTAATAAGTTACAATTTATATTACAGATAATCATCTCAGCATTCTCGATCCAGGGGTCGGTCTCACCATTTTTGCTTCCCCAGCTAACTTTACACTTAGTTCAATCTAACCCTGCTGGCAGTGGTGACAATGTTGCTTTTTTACTGTTATAAATGCTTTGCTTTCTACATATTTATGTAGTATGATTTTATTTTCTTTCTTTGGCGAATGCTGATGTTTCATGCGACTGGCTGTTCGTCATAAACATTACACATTTATGTGCATGTGTGCAAAAAACACAGCCTGAGTATCTAAACCTGGACTAACACAGAAAGTTGTCAACAGCTGTTGTAAAAAGAGTTGACTATACCTGTGTCTGGTAGGTTTTGTGAAGCTCATCTCTGCCAGAAAGATTGTCTAAGGCTGGACGTAGAGTACACAACTTTTAAAATCTTTGCGTGAGGACACTGACACTCACCGACAAGGCAAAGAGAGAGTATAACACACACACAAGTTTGCACTATGAATAAGAACTCAAAATCCCAGATTTCCTCAGATATCACATGACATAAACAAAGCTGAACTTATTTGACCAGACCTGTTTGTGCTTTCACACATTGCGAAAGCTCAAACTGGGGATTAATACAGG